CGATTGCAGGTTGCCGCTTGCGCACCCTGAGTGGCTCGGGAAAACTGCTTTTAGAAAACAGTGGCTGCGCTACACTATACCACTGACGTGCGCTTGTCACTTTGATTGTGTTTTTCCTATGTTTTTCTCGCGCTCGACACGTTTTATAAACGCGAGGGTCGAATGTCAAAGGTTTGCTGTTGCTATACCAGCTCTTTGTCCGGGGGAGTAGGAGTAGTTGCAATTTTTGTGTTATGGTTTTGGTGGCAAATGCTTTTCGAGTGGTTTCGGGAGATGGATTTAATGTCGAGGATACTTTGCTACTGTCTTGGATTTCATGTGTACTCTTATACTCGAGCATGTGCTCCTCGTTGTTATGCAAATGATTGATATTGTTAGGTCAAGTAAAATGTAATGATCTAACTCAAATTGTCACTCAAATGAGGTGCTCATATCAGAAAGTGACGCTTTTTTGTTTTTTTATCATCTTTGATTTTTTGGAAAGGAAAGCTATTTTTTTCCAACCAAGACTATTACACTAATACATTAATAGTAGTTTTCCTACGAGTTTGAAAAGTCTCTGTTTGCGAACCGAGAGGTTTGCGGCCCGAGCCGAAGGCGAGGGACGTAACGAGGTTCGTAAAGGAGACTNGAGAGCGCGGGAGAGCTGATAACGCTCGGGCCCGCCGCCGAAAGGTGATCATCAATACTCTGTATCCGCTGCTCATGCGCCGTGAGAGGTGAGTCTTGGGCGCGAACTTACAGAGGTTCTAGATACTGTACGTCACAGATGTATCTAGGCATATTTTCTTAAAATAGAAATTTTTGAAGCATCCGTTTTATCTAGACATTAAAAAATATCGATTTCGACGATTTATGGCAGGCTTTGATATACCAAGAGATTCATAAACCTTTTTTTTTTTTTTTTACATAAACAAACATGTTTAGTGTATTATCAACATTTGTTACCAAAAACACCGAGTAATTGAACAGTAAAAACTTACCTTGTCAATCAGAGATTATGGAAATAAACTTGAGATGTATTTCATTACTCAGTTTAAAAAAATGATTTTAAGTAAAGACATAGTGTTTTTCCAAGCGAGGAAAAATCGAACTGTAAGTAATTAAAAAATTACAATTGTAATTAATCTGCCAGGACTTGATGATAAGTTATATGAAACTGCTGGGTGTACTTATTTTCTATAATGTATATCTCTCTTATGTAATTATTTATGCGTGTATCGACTTTGTTTAAACATATTTTTCTTCTGCTAAATAACCAAGTATCAAAGTAATTTGTAACTATACTAGTAAATAATAATCGAGCTAATAAATTTTATTGTATAGTTGCGAGCTTTAATTTGTGGCCCAGAAAAAATTGAGATCATATAACTGTTTTTCCCTTATATATAATTGCTGCTTGGAAAACAAATAATAAAAAAAAGGTTTTTACACGAAATATGCTGTCATAAAATGATAGTTATTGATAATTTTGATATTAAATAGACATTTTACGTATACATTTTATTTTTACCTCAGTTTCAAATTGAAAAACCCATAAAGCTTTTCGAAAAATCACGCTCACCACACTAGATGTGTTTTTTCATCGCCGTATCAAGTGCCTGACTCGCATTAAGACACTTACACATTACGTACGAGTCTCGTTCACTATACTCACTCGTTCAGTCGCATTCCACGCGAATTCACGTCTCTCTACTTTTCATCTACTGCGAATGGCCTCTTCTCTGTGCATATATGTGTTCTCTACCATCGTAAGTACGCGCAGCAACGAGACAGAGGAGGAGAGTTCGTTTCCCCAAGCCCCTCCGCGTTTACGAGTTTCATTCAGCGCGGCTCGTCACTTGGACGCGTGAGCGTGTTAAGTACACTCGAGAGATTTACTCGGCATGCATAAACATCAGGCCTCTTCTGCAATGGAGCGATCGAAATTTGTAAGGTTTTTTGGAACAGAGTAAACTCCGGATGATTTAAAAATATGCCGATATGTGACATCATATTATAAACTGCATTTTCATGAAAAGTATTTGCTGTCCCTTGAAGGCCTCCATAATATATACTATCTATACGAGCATTCGTACATCACCGACCAGCTGTTTTCATTGATTATTACATTTTTTCTACAAATTAGGAAAATACATTCGTTACATTTCCAAGCTTTTAATGAAACCAAGTTTATTTAGATCGATTAAAAATCAAACAGAGAACCAACACCTTGAATTTCAAATAAGTAATGATAAACTTATCGATAACCTTGAAACTCTAGTACAAGTTTTCTTTATCGTTTTCAACTGGTTTTGGTACAAGGATTGATTGTAATTTGCAAAAAACTTTGCAAACTATTGGTTTCAATAATAATTTCCTTTATCGGCCCTGGATATAAGACAGGCAGTATTATTTTCATATAAGCGGATTTTACACTTGAAATTGTTTTTTTTAATTGCAGGATCTATTACAACATTAAATGCTTACAATAGTTCATTACAAAATCATACATCGGAACTATTGATGTGCGTCTATACGTTAATAAAAATAAATAGTATGAATTTGGTGATAAAAGCTAAGAAAATAAATACAGGTGTTTAATCCATCACAAATTATCACCAATGATTCGCATGTGAAATTTTCAGAAAATAATACGCACTTGTCGTAGCGATGCCGTTTTTTCCTCGATACCAAGGCGTCTCCTACGGTGAGACACATCAAGTATTCATCATACCCGCACACACGATAATTGATCCCCTTCCCTCTCGTCAATTGCTCTGATCACGACAATAAGAGACGGAATAGGGATCGAGAGTCTATCCGTATACAACATAATTAATATGTATAAATACCGAATGACGAGGCCGAGAGGTAGAACAGGAAAGAGAAATACTACACTCGTGTACGAAAGAGAAAGAATGAATGAACGATTAGAGGCTTTGATGATGATTATTACGCGCCCCACGCTGGTATTTTTATCAAAACGTGGCGCGTGTGACGTTGTAAGCAGAGCTGAGTGTGTGGTGATTTTTCTCGTCAGTAGACAAAATTGGTACTCGGTCTGTTAGTGGGACTATTTTTCGAGGGAATCGCTTTGATCTGTGAGTGGGATTTTCCATCCAACAAACTGATTAATCGCCGCCGGAATTTCAGCTTAAGAGTTTATCCACGAGTTAAAAGAATTTTTTTCCTTATCTTGGGTGTTTCGATTGCGTTTGATTAGAGTCGGATTAATTAATCGGGAATTCCCGCCCTTACGTGTGCGATGTGTGCAGTGCGCGTTCGATGCAATGAAAACTATTATCGACTCGTGATGGTTAATCAAAGGTACGAAAAATTTTCAAACATTCTGCGCCTAGTTATTATCTTTAATTTATTTTCTGATACGTGTAATGATTTTTTTCGTACGAAAACAATCAAAATAGATGGCTTTTATAGCGGGATAGTGTTCGAAAATGTTGACGCAAGAATAGTCAAACTGCGACCGTAGTATCGTAATCGATATTTTTTTTTATCAAAAATTTCAATTGATGAATCTTGTGGTACCTATAATGAAATTGTACGAAACGTATTTGGAGCAAATAAAACAATCCTTATCTGTGATGTACTGGGTATTTCCCAGAGTCAGATTGAAAAATCAAAATTATTTCACAACTCTGTTACCCTTGCTAACTTGCTAATTTTTTATCGAAAGATTTTAATTTTACCGAAACTTCAAATAAAACAACAACAGACTCTGGAATACTCATAATTATTTTTCCGTGACATCCAAGCAATTGATATTATTTGTCGATAATATCGACTCGAAACCATTCTCCAAATAATCAAACGAAATCCAATAAAAATTTGATGAAACGAGCCACTAGTCATCAGAAAAAATTTCCGCGTCGACGCTCGAAGCGCGCCTTGGCCTGGTTTTTTTTTTTTTTTTTTTTTTTGACAAATTAAAAATTCCGGCTCTCCAGCCGAGCGTGAATTTCACGAGCCACCAAATCATTTTGTCCCCTCTCCGATCGCTTTGCGAAACTGCGCCTCCCCTTTTGACAGATCGAAAGCAAAGGAGCAAAAAGCGCAATATTAAAAAAACCATCCATCCGTGCCTGTACTGGGAATTGTTTTCTTGGTGATGATTATTGCCATTTTTCAACATCTCTGTCTTTCTCGTGCAAACGTTTATTTAGAAAAAGGGGGAGATAAAGCTTTTGTGCTCGTTATCGGAGTTTGGTGATGACGACTTCGTTTCGGCGTAGGAAAATTTTCAACACCCATTTGACCGATAAGGATTTATCGAATTCCAGTTCAGTTTTTTCAAAGTGATGACCCGATTCGACAAACATAGATTCGGATCTTGAATATTGTATTTTACTAGATGAAAATAATTTTTTTTTTTTAATCAAAGGAGTTAAACGAGTAAAATAAATGAGAAAATAAAACTAAACTATTAAGAAATTGTAATTAATATTTTCGATGTTTTCTTTATAAAGATTCATGTCCCGGAATTGAATGAAAGATATAAACGTCACGTTTATTTATTCAAACTCCACGATCAATGAATCAAAAGTTCTAATGTCAGAATATTTTTTCATACAATTGTATAACTATATTAACACGTTTTATAAATATTTTTATTGTTATCGATACGCTTTGTCCTTCTAATATGTTATGAAGTTTTAAAAAATATTATTTTTATCACAAACAAATTTAGATTAATAAAAATTGACAGAATAGTGGTGTACATAGCACAAAACGCTATTGAAAAAATGGGAAATACATGTCCTAATAGTGAAACGTGATATCCTATTGGAGAAACGTCCATGTTATTTGGATGGAGTCCGGGTGTTTTACTATTTGAAGATCAAATTTTTTTTTTAATGTATTTTTTAATAACGTCGTCATCATGGTTCAGCATCAAATGCGTGATCATACGAAAATATGTCGTAACAAAGAAACAATGCTTCATTTGCATTATTGAAAAAGTAGCAGTTACGGTCGTAACACTTATGTACAAAAATCCCACCTTACAGAGACATCCCTGGGTCCGAGTGGTACCTGACCATTGACTCGAAGTAAAGTCTCGCCAGTGCATTCATCCTCCTGAGTTTGCGAACCAGCTCCCCGTCGTAGGCATCCGGTGGGCCCGAGGAATCGCTCGCGAGCACCTCGTGCATCCGAGTCTCGCGTCTCGTTGCCAACAGATTATTCCACGGCGTCCAGGGCTTGCGAGGGTCAAGCCTCGCGAGCCGCAGTCGCTCGAGCTCGTCGCACCCCGAAAAGACCGAGCGCCCGTGCCATATGTCATTCACCAGGTAACCAACTGCCTTTGGACCCACGACGAACGCAAGGCTGCTGGCACCGTCTCGTCTGCGGTAAACAAAAAGGGAATTGAAGTGGGGAAAAAAGAAATAGCTTGGGATGATCTAAAGTGTGGGGCTACCTAACAGCTTCGTGCCTTCGCAGCTCTCTGAGCATCCTCTCGTAGATTTCTGGGTAGTGGCCAGGTCGGCGCCCTGTCCTGAGAGCCGTGCAGTCGACACACGTTCTTGAGACCCGCTCGCGGTGATCGGTCTCAAAAGCCTCGAGTCCCCTGAGACACCCGCATGATGGGCACAGTCGCGTCCGCGTTGATTCCTGCGAATCCATTAAAATTTTTTTTCCCCTGTATTATTGATACATTTCTAAGAAACGTGTATCTATATTTTTTTAATCTGTCCATGTCTGACCAAACTTGGACTCGCACTACTTAAAATCGAATTTATAGGAATACTGATTAAAAAATATCCTCATGTCTGGCAAAACTTGGACTCGTACTACTTAAAATCGGTTTGATGTGAAAACTGATTTGAAAATATTTACCTGGCTATTCTTACTTGGACTCGCACTACTTAAAATCGGATAAACAGGACAACTGATTTAAAAATATTTTCCTGTCTGACCAAACTTGGACTCATACTACTGAAAATCGGATTGCTCACGGTTTTCTGATTCCAGACAAATTACCGTGTTTACTGCACACTAGGTAAATTTTCGCGAGTTCCCATACCTTGGCTCGATTGTCGTGGTGAGCTAAGGCGTTCCTAGCTAGGTTGAGAAAGGCGAGCCTCACGCGGCTCCTCAGGTGTCTCAATAGACGCCACGGCTCGAGTCTCGAGGACGGTGAGGAAGCCTGCTCCAGCAGATACAGTTCCTGGTCTATCAAGTTCTCGAGGCTCGTCGATGCTGCACATGTATGCTGGGACGCGATTCTTTTGACCAAGTACAGGAGCTCAACGCGGTTGCTTAGGTCGCACTGTTGCTCGTCGTTGTCGTCGTAGTCGTCCAGAGTCCGCAGGGCATCGTACACGTCTTTGAATTCGCGGGCTCGCTGGACGCTCAATGTGTCGATGCTTACTGGCTGCTTTCCTGCGGTGTAACCTACGGGATTGTACTTTAGTGCTCGCAAGAAGGGACTTTTTTGTTAAGTTGGTCGCTACGCTATAAATAAACGGAAACGTCATTCTGAGAATTAACAAACTTCATTTATTGAAACTCAATAGTGTTGATAAATATTGTGTTGAGAGCAGATCAACACGTATAATGTGTCGCATTTGTACCTTTTTTTTCTTTGTAAACGTGCGTTAGCGTATGTGTGTATTGTATGCGTCCAACGTAGAAGTTATTCAATTTCACACTTCAGGGCTACCGTGCGAGAGTTCACAGCCAGGATGAAAAAAAGGAGGGGAATGAAAGATATGGTGGAAAAATATTTCGTCTCGAGATATCCCACGTGAATACGTAATATGAAAATACATGTTTGCAAATGTCAAAGTTGGGTGAGAATTTGGTTTGATATCTCATTTATTCATCAAAAGATTGTATCTTGATTTTGATTCTATTGTCTCAGAAGTCGTACTCTTTTTCCACTGTTACCTGTGTTTAAAGAGACTCTATCCTGTCAGTTCACGGAGCAAATCAATTCCAAACATGATAAGAGGTGTACTATACTTTGTTGTCTAAGGTCCAATGTAATCAATAATCACCTCTGAGCAGAACAGGCCTCGCGAGCACGTGGAGAAAGTTGGCCCTTGCACGCTCAGCTCTTCTCCTAGCGATGCTGCTCCTCGAGCTCTCTATCGCCCGCAAAGCCTCGACCTCCTGCTCCAGCTTCCTCGCACGTGCCGCGATCCTCGACTCGGCTTCGTTGTAGGACTCGCGGATTCTCGCTTCCTCGGTGACACTCCAGTACTCCACTAAGCTCCGCAAAACCGCGAGATCCGAGGGCTTGTTGACCCCATTATTGGTTCCCGCTGGATTATTCATCAAGTGGAGTTGGCTGCTGATTTCTTGGATCGACGGAATGGCTTGTTTGGTGCTGCAGTGCATCGAGAAGTTCAATTACTTTTGCTCAAACTATTTGGACTATTGTTTGGACAAATGAAAAATCATAACAACTGCCTCGTAAGGACGATTCACTTTTATCCTTCCAAGATCCTTTTAAGGAATCTTTTCTCGACCATTCAAGATGGTTCGAAAAAAATTTTTTTTTAATGTCTCCAAGCCTTTGTCGTTGCATGATTTTTATTGTCTTAATGTATTTTCAAGGCGTAAAAGAAACACTATGAAGATTTTCGTTTTTATTTATACAAACATAAATTGTTATGAAGACGATTATAAAAAGTTGTGACTTTAAACTTGTCTTTTTTTTTAAGTGTGCTCTTTACACTCCTCTACGTGAATTTTCGTTGAAGTAGTCATGTTTGTATAAAAATAAATAAAATAACCTTAAAAATATTTTCAAAATGAGACATGTATGTTGTCGTAAGATTTTTAAATATGTGCTCATTGTTTTGACAAAATGAAAAATACATCGCAATAAAAAATAATCATTTGAAAAAAAATTAACGATATCAAAATTATAACTGAGCAATCTTAAAATTATTAGTTTAACGATTAAAAAAGAGTTACGATCACCACTTTAAATAAATCTAAAAAGATATAAAAAAAGCGCTAAAAATCTTAAAAAACTACCGTCAAAATGTGTAAAATATTTTAAAAATTTGTAGAACTCATCGTAAGAGACTCAACTGAAGCAACAAAAATTGAAACATATCCTTGAGAGGGACGCATTGAAAAAATATCAAGACCACCGATAATAATCCTCCAATTACTCGAGGGCAGAAAGAGACGATCGATCGTTGGCCATAAGATCCTCGTTCCCATCATCCGCGTCGACTTTTTCAGGTAAACAATTCAAGCTGTCGCCATCCTTGTCCTCGATACGCTGCTGACGATCACGATAAACTCTGTAAATATTTTCATTATTATTATTTATCCCTTTTTTTCTACTTCTGCTTTCTTCCATGAGTAAACTCATTTTATGTCTAGGGACCCATCGTGTTATTAATTTCTGCAGAAAACAGATGGATGCTGTGAAACGAGTCGTAAGGATGCAGACATCCATTAATGGATAGGTGTATTACGAAAATAGTTGAAGTACACGCGTACGTAAATGGAGCAATGAAATAGTTGTGAATCTCCCTTTAACTTAGATATCGACGAAACGAACCAAACAGAATCCATTATATACTACAACGTGAGATCTGATGTCTTAGAACCTACATACTGGTAAAATATCGATTAAATAAAAAGGGGATCTTTTGTTACTTGAACCAAAATAATTTAACCATTTTTTAAAAGAAAGAGTTAGTTTGCCAGCTGACCTTTCACAAATGAATTCTCGCTGCCATAATTTAAATAATTTTAATGTCCATTGAAAAACTTATTCTTTCGACCATTATGGTCAGTCAATTTTTTTTTTTTAATATTACGTCTGTTTTCAAATTTAACCGAGTTCTCTACATAGTGGAAATTCAATTTAGTTCCATAAAATGTTTCCACATCAGTATAAAAGGGAATGAATAAAAAAACAAGTAATATATTGAAATCGATAACAATAACAATTTGGGTATCTCTCA